ATTTGTCTTGTTAGTAAAATCTTTCCTAATGTGAATATATTGCTAATGAAATCTGTCTTACCTCATCTCAAGGCTAGTTTCAGACTGAGACCTAAGATTTTTATTTTTTCAACAAAGGAATTAAGGAAGCCATCTGTTCTTTCTTATAGTCGATCAGAGGATTCGCCCGATATGCCTGCTGATACTTCATATTCGTACTCCTTTGCCTGGCGGGATAAAGTTGTCGATAGCTCATCATTCAACATTCCATGGGGTCACGAGAATCCAACGTAAGTAAAAGTATGGTTAAATGTATATATATGTATATATATATATATATATATCATGTGTATGATATTTGACATAGTCCTTTTCTACCAAATACTTTGATTTTTTGTAAACAGAGTGAAAGTAGAAGTTATGTCATTTTCATTAGAAGAATAGGAGGATTAAGGTGTGGTTCACAGTTTTCAACATTTTCTCAAGGATTCAAACCATGTACTGCAGGGGGGAGGGGATCAATGACTGGTGTATGCTTTTCAAAATAAAAATTAGATTTTTTCTTTCTTTCTTTTATGATACACGCTGTATAATCCACCTAGATGGCTCTACAAGTGCTGCAGCACCAAGGAGTCAGTTATTAGTTCTACCTTTCTCACCAGTTTGCCCTTTTCCTTGATTCTTGGAAGGCTTTTGTACTATATTGTCTTTAATGTTAATGATATTTTGATAACAATTTAATAATCATGCCATTAAAAAGCTTTATAACATTATCAGTATTGATACTATGAAAAAGAAAAACATTTTCCGGCTATTTCAAGGAAGGAAGAAATCAGGTGTTATCACCAGGGACTCCTTGGTGGCTGAGTGCATGTGGATCCATCTGTATGTTACAAAATTCACAAAAGACTACAGGAGACAGTACATAAATCCAAAGTCATTGGGTTAATACAAAATAAAATAAGTAGTATATTTATTGAATTTACATGCTTTCAAAACAGAGGGGTACATGGCTTTTCCCTTAGTACGTACACTAGTGATCTTCTTTAACATTACATTTAGGCAATTGAATGCCAAATACTCTCTTTTTACTCCCTCCTTATTTACTTCCTTTTGATTTCTACGTTTGTGCTTAAGTTCTCAGTGACAGTAATGGTTTCTGAAGATAATTTTGCTGAAGATAAAGTTCTCTTGAAGTATTCTACAATATATTTTTTACTTCAGAGAATAAAATGTGGTTTATAGATACAAACAATAATTACTGAAGTTTGCAGATATGGCCACAACCAATCAGTCATAGAAGATCTTTTACATAATCTGTATTTGAAATATATAATTTTCAGAATTGAAGAAAATGGCACAAAAGGGAGCAGTAGTCAAGGTTTCTCCTCACTTAATGCTTTCTACAGCAAGCTTTTAGTGTTTCAGAGCCTCAGTGTTGTATAGCAAAAAATATGCTATCTTGTCTTCATATCCATATTCATTAGAAATTTTTAAAAGATATGTGGCTTTAGAGGTAGTAGATATTTCCTTGAAGTATTCTAATCAAGTACAAGCCATCTGGCTTAGTTCCTTTGAGGAATCAGAACTTGTCTTCAGAATTAGCCAGTGTGGAACTGTTTGAGGGTTATGTGATTAGAGAATAGATTTTTCCGTTTCTGTGTAAAAGAAGGCAATGTTTACTTATTAGTATGGTAACTCCTTTCCACAATTTGGCACAATTTCCATCAAAACTATGAGAAGGCTTAAGTTAACTGGTGATGGGATTTGCTGGTAACCCCTTGGATCCGGTTGCTTGACGGAAATCACGGAGATGGAAACCCCGAGCAATGAGTTATGTAAGTGGCCAGCATCCCGGGCATGTGGCATGTAGTCCGGGCGAGTACGAACACCCATGAGTGGTAATAAGACTCTGTGTCTCCCCTTTGAAAAGTTTATTGTGTAAACATTTTTAGCTTTATCACCATTTTCCAATGTCCATATTTGTCTTTTAATTTGCTTTATCCAGATGGTAATTACTTATTTTCCTTGCACAGACTCCATATCATTTCTATCATCTCTCTATGTAGTAAATAGTTGAGTGCAAGAAAAAATATATATGGAACATTTCGTTATTTGTGTCATATATCTCATTTTATGGTAATTTTCAATTTTACGTAATACAACCTGCGCCGCTGGTCACAGTGGTCAGGAATATGGCACGTATCATGGAAATGGTGTCTTCCCTGGAGCCAGCGCTCTTCCAGTCACTGCTTACGCGCATTACATTCCATGTTCATTTATCAATGGGAATAGTGCTAAAGCCCTCTTCTAATTGCCAAATGAGTCAAATCACACTCCAAGAGGTTTGTGCACTCGTGTCAAGTCTGTTCCATCACCCTGGCTTTTACTCTTGACGGTTTGTTCAAATCACCTGGTCTGCGGTCCATTTGCCCGGATTATGGCACATTCACATCACCCGGGCAGCTGCCAGAGTTTTTCTTTGACATGACCACATCTGGGTCCAAGGGGTTAAATATATATGAATATTCATAAGAAATGAAGCTTTTAACTGACTGTGCTTTAGTAGAGAATTGGCAGCCCCTCAAATGAAATTATTGCTAATTGCACTTGGGGAGGAAATGACAAAACACTTGCCCACACATATAGATATCACCCTTTGAATATTTCATCATGATTTTGAAGTTTCCACCCAACATCAAGAATGTATTAACTATGGAATACCTTCACGATAGCTATTATTTGTTATATTCTGGACTGCAATACAACTAAACATTTTGAGTTACCTGTTTTTTTTTTTTTTAGGTATAATTTGATTTCCAAAAAAAGAGAAAAAATAATTATTTTAAAGCATAATTATATAAATAATGTCAAAAGATACAAGATATTCTCTTAAAACATTCATATCATAAATCTGACTGTGGTGTTAGAAACTAATAAAATTCTGCTTCGAGCTGATTCCAAGCTCAGGATATTTTAAACTTCATCAATGTGAAATATACTTGTTTTTTTGTGTACCCTTAACCTTTTCTTAGGTGTTATATGTGTGCTCTTCTTAAAAACCATCATTCTTCTAGGTCAATCCCAGTACCAGCAGTAGTGCAAGTTGCAGAGACAGCCAAAGTTGGTATTTATCACCTGAGTCCTGCAGGCAAGGACAAGTTTACAGAGTTCATACCTTTCTCGGGCGATGAACAACCTGAAGGAGATGATATCAAACTGCATGGAGGAATGTACTATATCACCCGAGACATATTCAACCCTGACATTGGAGATTTAAGGGTCCAGTTTTACTATGCTTGTCGGGCTGGTGAGATGGTAAGCAGTGAGTTTAATTTGTTATTCTCATTTAGAGCATTTCTATTTATTGTTCCTTCATTATTTTGGAATGAAGATCAGATTTATAGGAATTGTTGCAATGTAAATCAATAAAATTGATGTATATATTGTAGCAAGAAAACAGTATAAAATTAGCAACATTGTAGTATATTCATGATGACATTTTTCTCCTGTAATTAGTGAATTTGTTTACTTAGCAAAGGTTACTATAATTATGTAATGAAAAATCTGAAGTGTGTGTTAAATGTGTAGAAATATTAGCTTTAGTGAAACAGTAAAATGTTGATGGGTATATCCTTATGCTTGATTACTGCATCTATTTTTACAAAAGGTCAAATGTTTGAAATAAAGTAATCTCCAACTGTCTGAGAAAGGCAAAAATGCCACAATTGGATAAAACTTGTATGGTTGGAAATTTAGTAAAATAAGATAATAGATAATTTATTTCCTAATTCCCTTACCCAACAGGTGAGCGTTGTGGGCCAGCAGATAGGAGAGACCCTCCATCCTTACCTCACAAGCAACGGGAATGAGCTACTGATTGTTCGCACTGGGAAACACACTGTGGAGGAGATGTTCTCCTCAGAGCATGCCCAGAACCGCTTCCTGACTTGGAATTTGCGGTTGGCTGGATGGTTCTTGATGTTCATCGGACTTACTTGTGTCTCAAATATTGTCCATTCTCTCAGTGAGTATTCTCTCAGTGAGTTTGCTTAGGCAGCAATATTGTTGTTTAACTCTTTTTATTCATTTTTGTTTGTGTTTATGTTATGTAAGATTTAATTTCAAGATATATTTGTAACATTTCTGGTTTCTCATCAGTAATGGAATGAATCCAAGATCGTCCTATTCTTGATAATTTTTAAAAATAACAAAGCATCTTGATTATTCACTCTTTTTATACTGATAACCACTTTCTTTCAGTAATATGCTCACCTCTTCTGAGAGACGTGGTAGCACTGGGTCTGGGATCTGCCAACCTGACTCTTAGTATGTCTACCTCACTTGTGATCATCGGAGGGGCTTGGTGCATCTACCGCCCAGGTTTGGCTTTACTTATCCTTGTGGTGGCTGCGCTCCCTTTCATCAGGGCTGCTGTCAAACATCAGTCAACCGTTGGGCATTCAAGGAGGCCCAATGGATACAGGCGGAGCTCAGCAGACTGAAATGTTGTAAGTTCCAAAGTGGTTTGGGATGTGTGATGCTCTTTTGTCTGTTGCTGTCATAATTTAGGTTGTACTAAAGGTGCCAAAGATTTTAACTCTATGAGTAAAACTGTTTATACCCTCACTTAGTAAATGATTTTCAAGATGATGTTGGTTATGACTGTTTTTTACTTGGATCATCAATGTGATGTGAAAGAATTTTTGAAGCTGATAGGTATAAAAGAGCTCAGTAGGGTCTAGCATTTAACTTGTTCTGTAGTTTTACACATTTAAGATAATAAGAAGGAAGTGGTTGGAATCACATAAACTTAATGGTGTCCGCAGTTATATATGTGTTTCAAGGTAGCCTTTTTCTAAGGTGTTGTAAATTATTAGATTAGAAATCTTTCATTTGGTTGCAGTTTGTGGGAATTTATATCCCCTCAAATAGATATAGGATGTGTTTGTGTAATGAACAGTTTTTATGCTCAAGTTTTACATTTTCTTGGATGTATTTTTGTCTTCTCGTTTGTATTTACATTTTAGGCATATAGGTATATATATGAATAAATAACCTCTCCGATAGGGACTCGAACCCTCTCTGCTGCAGGCAGGTAACTGCAAGACGAATGCTCTACCACTGAGCTACGCATATATTAGATTTGTTAAGGCTAAGGAACCAAGTGTAGCTGCAATATAAATGTTTCTTTTAGTTGGTAATTGTTCCTTGTATGTGTATATTGTATAGTATTATTTAAATCATGATCTTCACTCATGATTCAGAAGCAATGTTTGTAATTAGTCAATAATGTGGACCAAGTTTGTCAGTAGCATTTACATGAATATTTGTATAGATATCTTAGATTAGATTAATCTAATTTAGATTAGTTATCTTGCATTATTTATCTTGTTAGTATTTCCCAACTTTGGTCTAGAAATTAGTTGTTAGTTAACCCGTTAGGTGGGCATATATACATATCCTGTGTGCTTATTTATTAATTTTGTTTACATATAGATGGCTGCACAATTTAATTACTACTTGGAATGTGGACCTCATTTCTTGAGATTTTAAAGGAAAATTTTAGTTTTTTTGTAATGGGTATATATAAGAAGGTTCTAAAAATGATTATGTTAATAATGATAATAGTGTCAGAAATAGGACTTTTCCAAAAAAAGAAAAGTGATTAAATAAATACAGGAATGAGGTGAATAGATAAGATCAGGTAGGCCCATTGATTGACTTTATTGTAAGTGATTGTAAAGCCATATTTGTGTAATCAAAATTGACAAAATAAACTGCAGTGGGGAATAGGTTAAGTAGGCTTGTTTATACTGTCGTTTAACTCTAGTCAAATTTAGTATTATCCCCTTTAAATAGTACAGTACCAGTTGTTATTTAAAAGTTCTCTGAAGATGTTTTATATTCATGTAATTACACATTATATATAATGTAATTTGTAAAATCATTAGGGTAATCATTTATTTCTAATTGTAATATTTTCACAGAGAGAAAAATTAAGGAATAAATATTCACAAGGTTACTGGATGATACACACTCATTCCTTGGTACCTGTAAAGGTGCTGTCACACTAGCACTTTTTTTGTCAATTTTTTGACAATTTTATTTAACATAAATACAAACATTCTCGAATATAGCTCTTGATTTGACTATGCTTGGCTGAAAAAGTTGACGGAAAAGTTTATAGACGGAAACAATCATTATCGTCTGACTGGGAAATCGACAATTCGCTCAAAAGTGGACAAAATTTCAGAAAATTGTTTAAAAATTGACGGAAAAAGTGCTAGTGTGATAGCACCTTAAGGGATACAGTTTGAAGATTCTTTCCATTTGCAGTGCTGGCTGCCAGGTGGGCTTTTTACACTTATTGTACTTTTTTATTAAGAATTGTGTTTATAGCAACTCAACTCATTTCCATTCTGTCTCTCTTTTTGAAGAGTGATAATACAGTGTATATTTTAAGAAACAGATATTCTCTCTAGTTATATTCTTGATGTTTGCGATTAACATATGGTTGTGAAGCTTATTTATATAGAATAAAGAGTATTTTGCTTTTAGATTTTCTCAAATATATTTCTGGTAAAACTTTAAAGGAGTAACCACTGAACCTCCAAACTTTTATGATGTGCAGATATTATCTATTCTGAATGATATGTTAGATTTTGTAAAACATGGAGGATTGAGACCTGTAAATACTTAGTCTATGTATTGCTGTTTATATGAATGTAATTTTCAATAGATTATGTGTCAAAAAAAGGAAATAAGAAGGTTAATAGATATGTAAAGATGCTAGTCAGATCAACAGGTGCTTATTTTATATGATAGTAAAGGAAATTGAAATTGGTATCTCCGATTAAAGAAGATTAAATGATATTGTTGTCATGTTTAACCATACATGAGTTTATTCATATTTAGTGAGAATGCAAATATAGTATCATGTACAAAGATTAACTGTAGCACAGCACAATACTAAAGGGAATGATATACAGAAACAAATTTTGTTTCCTTTATAATTGTGGCTGTGTTGTCTCAATCAGTAGGTTCTGATGTTCCTATTGAATTCTGTAAATAGTAAGAAATTAATGATTTAGCCTTACTGGTCAAAATGTATGGTTATAAAAGGCAGTGAATATTGTTCATGGAAATTAATTCTGGTAACTAAAAAGTGTATGAAATTGTTCTTTAAAGGTTTATAGGGACATGCACACATATATATATACATGGGAATATGTGCATGCGTATACACACACACACACTGAAACTCACTGTCACTTTTACACATTCACCCTCCTATCCTCCAAATAATCACATACACACCTCCACACTCTTGCAAATGTATGTAAACACACACACCACACACACACACAACACACACACACTCACACTCACACTCACTCACTCACACTCACTCACACTCACTCACTCACTCACTCACTCACTCACTCACTCTCTCTCTCTCTCTCTCTCTCTCTCTCTCTCTCTCTCTCTCTCACTCTCTCTTCTCCTCTCTCTCTCTCTCTCTCTCTCCCTCTCTCTCTCTCTCCTCACTCTCACTCTCCCTCTCTCTCTCACTCTCTCACCTCACTCTCACTCTCACTCTCATCTCACTCTCACTCCTCTGTCTCTCTCACTCACTCTCACTCTCACTCTCTCTCACTCTAACTCCTCTGACACTGTCTCTGGAACTGATTATATATAGGTTCTCATTCAATGATTCTGTTTATTTTCTGTGGTCTGTCGTTTCTTGCATTTGGTTTCACTAAGAATACGATGACTGGATGGATTTTGGAGATCAGATACACATTTTTTTTTATTTAAAGTTGTGTCATACATAATATATCCTGGCGTGTAATTTCAGGGATATGTGTGTGTGTATGTGTGTGTGTGTTGTGTGTGTGTGTGTGTGTGTGGTGTGTGTGTGTGTGTGTGTGTGTGTGTGCGTGTGTGTGTGTGTGTGTGTGTGTGTGTGTGTGTGTGTGTGTGTGTGTGTGATTATTTTGTTTATGTGTGTACGCATGGTTATACGTATGTATGCATGCATGCGTGTATGGATTGCCTCCTACAGGCAGAGCCAGGAAGCCACAGGGCGCAGAGAAGGGAGCCAGAAAAGTGGGCAAAAGGTCGTTCTGAGAGGAATTATCAGAACAGGTTGGAAAGGGCGATTAGATAGCGCGGAGCAGGACCGAATTATCTCCGGCCCGGGGATGATTAGGAGCACAAGTGTGGTCTGGGGGGGAAAGGGGGGGTGGGGGTGATATCCACACGGCAGCGGGAGAACAAGGTAAAAACAGCCACGTGGCGGGATTGGAGTTTATGGAGTTGAAAAAGGGGAGGTAGAAAGGGAAATATACCTAAGCATAATTATTTTACATGCGTTGTTACCAGTACGAAAATAAGCCAATATCAGGGATGATAGAATAGCGATCATGATGATAAACACACCTTTAAAACATAACGAATTGGGTCGTTATAACTGTGCTAATTCTAACAAAATAACAAGCAACCAATAGTAACAGTGATCATGAATTCTTACTTATTCTTACCTTTAACTGGGATACATAATAATAAAAGTATCAATGAAGGTGTTGTTATAGATGATTATACCAGTACTAAGGACTAACGCTAACAGTAAAGATAAGCAGAGGATCGTCACAGATGGTGGTAATAAAAAATGGCAAGTCGCATTAATAACGATTGTGATAAGGGTGATATGCATGGTCGCAAATAGTTATATCATCATAAATTATGCAATGATAAGTGTATGATATTGGTGATATACTCTTATATGAATTTATCAAAATGTATCGATTCCTGTTTATAATTATATCCCAAATTATGTCAACATTAAGATGTCGGATGAATATAATCTTTGAAAATGTCTCATATGAATTTATCAAAATGTATCGATTCCTGTTTATAATTATATCCCAAATTATGTCAACATTAAGATGTCGGATGAATATAATCTTTCAAAGATAATGAGTCTTAATTACAGAATGTTATTTTAAAATGTTAATGTCCAATATAAATCGATATCATTAAATTGTCATTTTCCTCTTTAACATGCAAATACGAACAAGATTTATATAAACTAAGTAAAACTAATTTCTCTTTGGGTTTTCACAGAAAGGACAGGAAGTGGGAGCAGAGAGAAAAGAAATACATAAATATTTCTTGTTAAGGAATACAAAAGAGCGGTGGTACGCATGAGATATTGAGATATAACCATTACTCGATTTAGATATTTTGTTTGTTTGTTTGTTTTGGTATTACATACGTGCATGTAGTTTATTTGCTTTGTTTTTGTTTTGTCTTCATTGAAACAATTGCCTCTTGACAAACGTTTTCATGCACATCATATATAAATGAAATATGGAATACCCAGATAATTAGATAATGAAAATAGATCATTACGTAACAATTACATAAATTAGATATATCAACAAAGACAAATAAAGTGTGAGTGTAAATCAATGAATTCTGAAGGACAAATAAACGAAGAAATTACAAATGATTGATCGATTACATCATTCCATTCCGACAAACAAATTAACTGTTAAATACACATGTAAAAAATGAAAAAAAAAACTCGTAATATGAATGAATAATATATATGTTCTAATTACCTACGAATGGCGAGTAAAATCAACACGAAATAGAAATATTATTTTTCAGACGAGATATAAACAGAAAATCAACAAATAATTTCTCGTTTGGTCTCCTAATAAAAAAAATGGCAATTACCTATTGAAAAACAAATCAGAAAATATCGTTCATTACAAAGAAAGAAATAGATGAAAAGGCATCAGTTAAAGAACATTCTAATTATAGGATTATAGAAAGACACTTCTGCAATTGCTTTCCTTAACCGTTACATGCTCTGGTAGGAATGTCGTAAATAATTTATGACAATATTGAATATTTTCTTTCGGGTAATGTAAATAATTCCCTAAGGTAAATATTTATCCTAACAGGTAATTGTAATAAAGGTAATGATAGATTTAAATGCTTAGAATGA